CTATTCTATGATTCTATTCTATGATTCTATGAAACAGTCTGACCTGGGGCCTCCATTCTGAAGAGGCAGTGAAGGGAGACAGAGATAAGAGGCGCACCATTCTCCAAAGGACAGAGCAGGTTCTCTGCAGATTTGCAGGACTCTACAGATATCTGCTTCATATTCGCGGATGCAGACATCCGTGGACCATGTTTGCAGATCGCGGATCAGATGTGGATATAAATTTTTCATCTGCGCAGGGCTCTAGTTTTCTGTCTCCATTTAAATCTTGGGCTCTGCCTGGCAATGAAAGAAAGAAATGCCGGATTAACTAGACATGTCCATGTTTCCCCAGTTTGTTTTTTAGCAGCTGGGACTTCGCCAATGGCAGTGCTAAATGTAGCTGGTTGGGACTTTTCCTTCAGAATAATTTTATGATAGAAAATACAGTTTCAGTCCAATTGAAACTATTTCAGTTTATTGAACTGACCTGAAATGAAATGTTTTGGTTCAATGGCTTTCAGCACCCCCACGATACACAGCTCCCCGTCCCCTTGTGAATTGAGCTTGGGGAAGAAACTGACTGAAACTATTCTGTAAATTTGTGTCAAAATTATGAATGCTTTTGGGCTGACTGAAGCTGCATTTTTCAGCTGTTTGAAAAGCGTCAGCTCACTGAGGGCTCTCTGGGGCAAGGAGGGTTCTGAGTTTCCTTGTCTGTCCAGTGACTCGCCCAGTGCAGCCAGCTCTGGTCCCTGGGCACTGCCACAGTATTAGTCATAGCCGTGGGAAAGCCAAACCTCTAGGAGCTCTTTGTTAAGCAACATTCATCTTTAAGTCCATGTACGGTGGCCTCTCCCCCAGCCTGTGTCATCAGTCCAAGTGCTGCTAACCTGCGACACCCAAAGCTGCTGCCTACAGTAAAGACTAGGGAGAGGCTCCTGAAAGGGGTCAGGCTGTGCTTTCTCACACATGTTAACTGGGTTGTGCTGAATGCTAATGGGGACGAACTCTTGGCTGCTACGTCCCCCACTATTCCTGGGCACATGATGCTGAGGGAGGCCGTGTGGGGAGCCTGGGCAGCGCCTATGTGTGTTCTCTCCTGCCCAGAGGAGCTGGGGTTAGGTCATCCGCTCTGTATGAAACGCAGCAGTGCTGCCAGGCTGCACGCTCATTAGTTGCCCACATGCTGCTTCTCGCTTCCCAGCAGCCCCTGTATCTTCACCCCTAATGCTGGCTTCTCTCCCTTCTGCGCCCGTCCTTCCCGTTCTCTTCAGGGCTGCCCCTAGCCCAGACCTGCAAAAGCCCCGGAATGTCTCTGTGGTTTACTCTTCCGCAGTGAACAACAACCAGCTTTGGTTTTAAATGGCCAGTTGCTTTGAACAGACTTACGCACAAACACCAGCAGGTGACTAGCACGGGCCACGTCTTCTGGTTTCAGCGAAGGAGCCATTTAATTTTTTTAATTAGTAAATGTTAAAAATAGCCTTAGGAAAATCCATCTCCAGTTTAAAGAAGGGCCATTTTCAAATTACACATACTCCAGATTTTAAAGCCAGTTACCTAGTTGTTAGTGTAACCTGGCTCTATTGCGATGAGGCCCTGGTTAGTAAGGTTGTGAGGTGCTAAAAATGTTCACAGCAGACAGAGGAAGAGCTAGGATTAAAACTCCTGGGCTCCCAGCTTGTACTACAGGGTAGTTTCTCCTAGACTAGAGGGTGTATTTATACAGCCTTCTCCCTCAGGTGTGTACCTGACGTTCTGTCTGCTACGTGGAAAAAAGCATGTCTAGAGCTGATGGGAAAATGAGTTTTCCATCCCACAGAAAATGTTGAGCTTTTGAAAAATAATTGTATTCTGAATCAGGACAAAAATCAAAATGTCACAATTTGTCATGAAACAAAGTTCTGGTCAACTGAACCATTTTGTTTTGAGAAATTTGAAACATTCCTTTCAAGTTTGATCATTTGTAATTTGTTTACTTTTTAAATATAAAATGCATTTCAAAACAAAAAGTCATTTTGAAATGAAAAATCAAAACTTTTTATACCAAAAATGTCAACGTGGGAAGTTATGACATTTTCTAAATGGTTTTAATCCAGTTGTTTTCTCTACAAATTCACGGAAATTATTCCGGTTAGTTGAAATAGTGTTTTATGATGGGAAACTGCTTTGACAAAAAAATTTCAACCTGCCATAAGTACGACCCACATAACGAACACCAGGCAATGCTAGAGAGTGTCATTTTTCCTTGGGCCTCTCTGCCACTTTTCCAAAGTTGCAGACGTTTTGAAAAGTCACAAATGAAAAAATGAAAAAATAACCTGCTAGCAACATTTTTTCTGTCATCTCCAGGGTAAAACAAGACGGAGAAAAGGGAAAGCACCAAATTCCAAAATGTGGACAATGTTTTGATTGTAAAACCAAAAGAAAATGGAAATTTCTGATCAAAGTGAACTGAAACAATTGCATTTTGTTTTAAAACATTCCCTCAGAAAAAAATCCAAATGAAAAAATTACATTCAGGATTTTTCTTGGGGAAAAAACATGGGGAAAGCTTGACTGCTCAAATATACACACGTACATTCCTGCTATGTCTCACTCCTGGTATTTATTAATTTTATCCATTTTGATTTAAAATAATGGAAAAGATCCCTTCCCAAGGCTGTAGGTGCCCTCGCTCATTGTTAATTATACAGGACATACTATGTGAGTTGGCTTTTCACCTTGCACAGCAGAGAAGGGCAGCACATCGACACCCTGTATGGAGAGGATGGGAAGAAATACATTGGATTGGTAAGATTTTCCTGCGTCAGAGTTGATATTTTACAGCAGTGGTTTGCTCATCTCTGGCACCTCGCCCACAGATCTTGGAGTGCTCAACCCACCCCTTCAGCCTCACAACTCCCCAGCACGGCGAGGACAGCCATTCTCATGGGGAACCCAAGGGCATGGGCCAGATTGTGGTACCCACCCTGACTCCCACTGAATGAGACCTCCCACCAGAAGTAGTGCCAATGAAATCTAGCCTTTGGCGACTTGTCAAAGGTCACCCAGGGAGCGTGTGGTAGAACAGAGAGTAGGAACTGTGTCTTCTTACTCCCTTGTGCTTCCCTCCTGTATGCCAATGGGCCAGGAGCTTGGTACAGAATTCCAAG